TGTAACTTGTTCATTGGTGTTCATCTGCACTGAAGAGTTTACAGATGATTCGAGAGTTAAGGAACTTTAAAGTCTGTCAGTTATCAGGTATTTCAGCCGTTTTTTATTAAATTCTTCATATCGGATTACGGCGGAAACTATCATATTGTCATGATACGAGTTGTGGTACAGGTGTTGTGATACACTTGTTGTGGTACAGGTGTTGGGGTACAGGTATTGTGGTACAAGTGTTGTGGTACAGGTGTTGTGGTACAAGAGTTGAACGGACACCAGGCCTGCTTTTCCGGTAAGTAAACGGGGACACAGCAGCTAAAAACAACACAACTAGTTCCCCCCTCGTAACATAATTTGACTAGCATATCAATGTTTAATTAAAATATATATATATATGCGTTATGTTTAATCGTTATCGTAAGTCCTACACATTGACACGCATTAACTAGCTCTCCAACTATCACTGGATATCCTAATCTTAAGTCTGGGCCAGAATTCATCAGGTATTTACGTGACCATTTACGAAACCTGTACATCATCATCTCAATCATGGCGACTTAGTTTGGGTCTAGTAAGCAGTTTACGACCTCAGGAAGGTCGCAACGTAAGGTTATCATTGTTATAGACAACCTCATGGTACTTCCGAGGTCGTAAACTGTTTATTAAATACAATCAAAGCCACCGTGGTTGAGGAAAGATGTACAGGTTTCGTAATTGGACATGATGCTTGATGAATCCTGATTGATTAAAGAGCTCAGAATCGCTCTTAAAGAGCTTAAGAAGAGTAAAAGATTTTGTATCATAACGTTTGGAAAATGTAATCTTTGAGGCGGACTACGACGCGAGGTCAAAAGACCACTCATCATAGCCTCGTGAATCAAGACAATTGCAAATACAGATTCAAGTGCTGATTCTTAGTGTAGTGAATAAGTCAGGTGAGAGCACTTACGTGTTGACTTACGAGATCAGAACCTATTATTTCATGGCGTACATTCTGTACTTACTAAAAAGTTTAAGACCTCTGAAGCTCTACGAGGCTAAGCAAGGTAATTATGAGGAGAAAGCTATAATCTACTATAACTATATAGTACTTGGGAAGGATATGAGGACAAGGAACTGGGATATGAGGAAAAGGAACTGGGATATGAGGAGAGGGAGCTGGGGGTATGAGGACAAGGAGTTGGGATATGAGGACAGGGAGCTGGGATATGAGGACCCCTCCTGTAGTTCCTGTTCCTCTTCACCACCTTCCTCTTTCTGTCCGTTTATCTCGCTTACAAGATTCTCTTTCGGTTCGTATTACTAATGTTTCTCCTCGTATTGTTCCCTCCTTGCCCCCGTGGAGGGTCCCCCTTCCCAAATTTTGTACTTCTCTGACCCGCATCACTAAAGCTTTTACCCCTCCTACAGTTCTGAAACGCCTCTTCCTTGAGCACTTTTCTTCTCACTCCCACTCCGTTCCCATCTTCACTGACGGGTCGAAGTCTGCTGACGGTGTGGGCTACTCTGTTGTTTTTCCTGACTACACTTATATGTGTCGCCTTCCTCCGGAGGCTAGCATCTTCACAGCAGAACTCTATGCTATTCTCTATGCTCTTCGTCTCCTGCTTTCCCGGTGTCAATCCTCCTTCGTGGTGGTAGTTGACTCTCGTAGTGCCCTCATGGCTTTAGGGTCCTTTAATCCGGTCCACCTTGTGGTCATCGAGATTCAACATTGGCTGTTTCTTATCTCCAGTAAATTTAAGTCGGTTGCATTTTGCTGGGTTCCCAGCCATGTTGGTGTCTCTTTAAATGAGCGTGCGGATGCTGCCGCTAAGGACGCTATCCGCACTTGTCCCATCTCCCATAAAGGTGTTCCTTATTCCGACTTTTACCCAAGTTATTCATGCCCAATTGCAGAGTTGTTGGTCTTCTGTTCTTGGTAACAAACTGCGTACTCTTAAGAGTCGTGTGTCCCAGTGGCCTTCCTCCTGCCACCGTAACCCGCGGTGGGAAACGGCTCTGGCTAGGTTACATATTGGCCATACCCGATTAACTCACGGTCACTTAATGGAGCGCCGCCCTGCTCCTTATTGTCCAAATTGCATTGTCCCTCTTACGGTCATACATATCCTTGTTGAATGTCCTGACTTCCAGGACGAGCGTGTGTCTTGTTGTCCGACAGTAGCCCGCGGTCGCTTGTCCCTTAATAGAATTCTTGGTGACTCGGATACTTTTGATATCGTTCGCCTTATGCATTTTTGTTCTCGTATTGGCATCCTTGGTGATATTTAGCGCCCTCTGATTATCCCGCACACTTGATGGTGCTACATGCATAGCCTTCCCGGTTTGGTGCCTTCTATTGATAATTAATTAAAATTAGCACCAGCATGTACCTAGTTCCTAGCACCAGCCTATACCCAGTTCCTAGCACCAGCATATACCCAGTTCCTAGAACCAGCATATACCTAGTTCCTAGGACCAGCGTATACCTAGTTCCTAGCACCAGCGTATATCTAGTTTCTAACATCAGCATATACCTAGTTCCTAGCACCAGCCTATACCATGTTCCTAGCACCAGCCTATACCTAGTTCCTAGCACCAGCATATACCCAGTTCCTAGCACCAGCATATACCTAGTTCCTAGGACCAGCATATACCTTGTTCCTAGCACCAGCCTATACCTAGTTCCTAGCACCAGCCTATACCTAGTTCCTAGCACCAGCATATACCCAGTTCCTAGCACCAGCATATACCTAGTTCCTAGGACCAGCATATACCTTGTTCCTAGCACCAGCATATACCCAGTTCCTACCACCAGTGTATCCCTAGTTCCTAGCACCAGCATATACCTAGTTCCTAGCACCAGCATATGCCTAGTTCCTAGCTCCAGCATATACCTAGTTCCTAACACCAGCGTATACCTTGTTCCTAGCACCAGCATATACCCAGTTCCTAGCACCAGCATATACAGTTCCTAGCACCAGCATATGCCTAGTTCCTAGCACCAGCATATACCCAGTTCCTAGCACCAGCATATACAGTTCCTAGCACCAGCATATGCCTAGTTCCTAGCTCCAGCATATACCTAGTTCCTAGCACCAGCATATACCTAGTTCCTAGCACCAGCATATACCTAGTTCCTAGCACCAGCGTATACCTTGTTCCTAGCACCAGCATATACCCAGTTCCTACCACCAGTGTATCCCTAGTTCCTAGCACCAGCATATACCTAGTTCCTAACACCAGCGTATACCTTGTTCCTAGCACCAGCATATACCCAGTTCCTAGAACCAGTGTATACCCAATTCCTAGCACCAGCATATACCTAGTTCCTAGCACCAGCATATACCCACTTCCTAGCACCAGCATATACCTAGTTCCTAGCACCAGCATATACCCAGTTCCTAACACCAGCGTATACCTTGTCCCTAGCACCAGCATATACCTAGTTCCTAGCACCAGCATATACCCAGTTCCTAGAACCAGTGTATACCCAATTCCTAGCACCAGCATATACCTAGTTCCTAGCACCAGCATATACCCAGTTCCTAACACCAGCGTATACCTTGTTCCTAGCACCAGCATATACCTAGTTCCTAGCACCAGCATATACCCAGTTCCTAGAACCAGTGTATACCCAATTCCTAGCACCAGCATATACCTAGTTCCTAGCACCAGCATATACCCACTTCCTAGCACCAGCATATACCCAGTTTCTAGCACCAGCATATACCTTTTTCCTAGCACCAGAATATACCTTGTTCCTAGCACCAGCATATATCCAATTCCTAGCACCAGCGTATACCTTGTTCCTAGCACCAGCGTATACCTAGTTCCTAGCACCAGCATATATCCAGTTCCTAGCACCAGCATATACTTAGTTACAAAAATCAGGGTATTTCTGGTTCTCAAAAAATTCCATCACTGGGTAAGAGAGATAGAGAGGTTGTAAGTGGATACTTTAATGCTCTGTGAATTCCCCCCCGGAGGATTCAACCCAATATTATATGTTGCGTTGGATTATATAAGGACCAGGATGAGGAGTCTCCATTTGGAAAACCCGTACATCATTCCTCAATCACGACGGCTTTATACATGTATATACTGCATGCGATGTCGAAGCACTACGAAGTTGTTTATAACATTAACAGCCTAACGGTGTGAGGTTTCCAAGCTCATAAAGGGTTTAGTAAATACAGAATAAGACATGACAATTGTGGAAAGATGTAAAGGTGTTTTAAAGAGACACGCAAATGGTTGAAGAATGGGTTCAACAAGATCCTGAGGCAGTCGCTAACCAAATGTATACTGGAAATATGGCGGTACATTTAAAATTATGCATAGCAGCTAAATATTGGAACAAATATAAATTCAAGAGCACTCTATGTGACCCAAATGTGTATTTTGAGAACAAACTTTGGGAGTCAGAATCTCTTACTCCAAGCTGCCACTTTGTTTAGATCTTAGCAAACACAACCTCACTACAACGTTGGAGTATATGTTGCTACAACGTTGGAGTATATGTTGCTACAACGTTGGAGTATATGTTGCTACAACGTTGGAGTATATTTTGCCACAACTTTGGAGCATATGTTGCTACAATGTTGGAGCCTATAATGCAACAACGTTGAAGTCTATGTTGCTACAATGTTCAAGTATATGGTGCTACAATGTTGGAGTGTATGTTGCTGCAATGTTGGATCATATATTGCTATATTATACCTATAATAAACCGTGTATTATATTTTGCTACAACGATGGAGTATATGTTGACAATTAAACGACGTTGGTGCAAATGTTGCTACAGCGTTGGAGCATATGTTGCTACAACGTTGGAGAATATGTTGCTACAACGTTGGAGTATATGTTGCTACAACTTTTTTGACAAATGCGTCAGAAATGTGTGTTAACATTGTATGTTTTCTGGAGAATCTGAAGGAAACAAAATCTTTTTTTCTGTTAACTGAAGAATCAGAACTGAGGCACAGTAGCATTTCACCGGTATAGTCATAACATTGTAGTAACGTTATCACATCACTATAACATATACATAACGGTATGTGTGTTTGCTGGATATAACTCCGCGAGCTAGGGACAGAGGGACGCAAGAGGGCAGGCAAACGTAGCATGTCAGGTACAGGAGCGGAGGCATAGGAGGCCCCGCTGAAGGCTCTTCTCCACCCGCACTCTTCATTGTAATAAAGAACACCTTTTGTAGCTGGAGGAATCCAGAGGCTTGAGACTACAATGGCTTCAGGAGCTGAAGACTAATGGCACTCTGGGCTACTTGTAGCCAGAGGCGGTCAAACAACGCTAGCACACACTGGTGCTCCAACTGCCACTCTGGCAGCAGCATTGTGTCTGGCTACATGCAACACCAGCTCAGAGAAGTCTCACGAAGCCGGTGGAGTTTACTGCCGGATCACATGCAATAGCCACCGTAGGTGCGTATGGCGTCCTCTGTGTAGGTCTTGCCTGGGATGACACCGGGATCCAAGTGGTGCAGGGGGCAGTTGTGGGCGTGGGGACACTGATACAACGTCTTGGTGTTCACTTCTTCGAACTGGGGTCGCTTCTTCACGGTGAAGAGACGACATGGCTCTTCCGCTTACATCGCAGCCGCTGTGAAAAAAAAGAAGATTCAGACTAGATGTTTAACAATGACAACACATAGGGGTTTATTACTTTAAATTCATGTGAAGGAGTTGCAAAATATTGCATAAAACACAAGTTCTGGATGGACTGGTCGGCATATCAAAGCCTTCAACATCGCAGATATGTTGACAGACTTACTATTATGTACGAAGGGTCTCCAAGTTCCCCATCTGGCACAACTTCTTGGCCAACCAGAGATTGTCAGTCACAACACAAGGCGCTCAGCCATCAACAACCTCTAGATGGTTGTATACATTAGTCCGCCTCGTATTTGCAATATGTTTGCTCAACATGTACTGAGGACCCATGTGTAATCAAACCAAGTGACCAGATGAAGACTTTATCACACAGTTGGCTCCTGGTTCATCCTTTTCCCTCCTTGACTGTCATTTAGTATTTTATTTTAGTTTCTTTATAATAGACACAAATAACAAATTCATCAAATAAGTGAGGGGTCTAGGGATGAGCTTCTGATGAGTTGGTGTAGGATAACAGCTCTTGCTGGCAGTTTCACTAGCGACGAAACTACAGTTCCTAATGAACCCTAGAGAGTTCGAGAGAGAGATACAGAGACACAGAAAGAGAGAAAGAAAGAGATCGCTAAATGACACCGAAGTATATTTGAATATAATCATTATGTGAATACTACTAGAATCCTTATTCTCATAGTTGACAGAGAAGGAATGAGAGAACGTACACTCTGGGGAGAACAGGCGAAGCTGTAGTGAAACCCAACGCCCTGGCCAGTCCAGTAGGCAGGCCTCTTGATGATATACGTTACCGAGTTCTTGGGACATACGCAGTGTATGATCTGCTGCGTCGCGTTGTCAGGAAAGGTGGTGAAGGTCCAGGTAACGTCACGGAAGTAACGACACTAGGCCAGTTTCTTGGTGGGCTCACACACCTGTGGAAGACGCTAGGTGTTTGGATCCGGATGAACAGGTGTTGGTGCGGACAGTTTGACTGTTTCAGGTGTTTTATATGAGTGATGGTGGCGTGCACTGGTGATGGTGACATATACTGGTGATGGTGACATATACTGGTGATGGTGACATACACTGGTGATGGTGACATACACTGGTGATGGTGGCGTGCACTGGTGATGGTGGCGTGCACTGGTGATGGTGGCGTGCACTGGTGATAGTGACACACACTGGTGATGGTGACATACACTGGTGATGGTGACACACTGGTGATGGTGACATACACTGGTGATGGTGGCGTGCACTGGTGATGGTGGCGTGCACTGGTGATGGTGACATACACTGGTGATAGTGGCGTGCACTGATGATGGTGGCGTGCACTGATGATGGTGACATACACTGGTGATAGTGACATACACTGGTGATGGTGACATACACTGGTGATGGTGACATACACTGGTGATGGTGACATACACTGGTGATGGTGGCGTGCACTGGTGATGGTGACATACACTGGTGATGGTGGCGTGCACTGATGATGGTGGCGTGCACTGGTGATGGTGACATACACTGGTGATGGTGACATACACTGGTGATGGTGGCGTGCACTGATGATGGTGACATACACTGGTGATGGTGACATACACTGGTGATAGTGACACACACTGGTGATGGTGACATACACTGGTGATAGTGACATACACTGGTGATGGTGACATACACTGGTGATGGTGACATACACTGGTGATGGTGACATACACTGGTGATGGTGACATACACTGGTGATGGTGACATACACTGGTGATAGTGACACACACTGGTGATGGTGACATACACTGGTGATAGTGACATACACTGGTGATGGTGACATACACTGGTGATGGTGACATACACTGGTGATGGTATCATACACTGGTGATGGTGACATACACTGGTGATAGTGACATACACTGGTGATGGTGACATACACTGGTGATGGTGACATACACTGGTGATAGTGACATACACTGGTGATGGTGACATACACTGGTGATGGTACCATACACTGGTGATAGTGACATACACTGGTGATGGTGACATACACTGGTGATGGTGACATACACTGGTGATGGTGACATACACTGGTGATAGTGACATACACTGGTGATGGTGACATACACTGGTGATGGTGAAACACACTGGTGATGGTGACACACACTGGTGATGGTGACATACACTGGTGATAGTGACACACACTGGTGATGGTGACATACACTGGTGATAGTGACACACACTGGTGATGGTGACACACACTGGTGATGGTGACATACACTGGTGATGGTGACATACACTGGTGATGGTGACATACACTGGTGATAGTGACATACACTGGTGATGGTGGCATACACTGGTGATGGTGACATACACTGGTGATGGTGACATACACTGGTGATAGTGACATACACTGGTGATGGTGACATACACTGGTGATGGTGACATACACTGGTGATGGTGACATACACTGGAGATGGTGACATACACTGGTGATAGTGACATACACTGGTGATGGTGGCATACACTGGTGATGGTGACATACACTGGTGATGGTGACGTACACTGGTGATGGTGACATATACTGGTGATAGTGACATACACTGGTGATGGTGGCATACACTGGTGATGGTGACATACACTGGTGATGGTGACATACACTGGTGATAGTGACACACACTGGTGATGGTGACATACACTGGTGATGGTGACATACACTGGTGATGGTGACATACACTGGTGATAGTGACATACACTGGTGATGGTGGCATACACTGGTGATGGTGACATACACTGGTGATGGTGACATACACTGGTGATGGTGACATACACTGGTGATGGTGACATACACTGGTGATGGTGACATACACTGGTGATGGTGACATACACTGGTGATGGTGACACACACTGGTGATAGTGACATACACTGGTGATGGTGACATACACTGGTGATGGTGACATACACTGGTGATGGTGACACACACTGGTGATAGTGACACACTGGTGATGGTGACATACACTGGTGATGGTGACATACACTGGTGATGGTGGCGTGCACTGGTGATGGTGGCGTGCACTGGTGATGGTGACATACACTGGTGATGGTGACATACACTGGTGATGGTGACATACACTGGTGATAGTGACACACACTGGTGATGGTGACATACACTGGTGATAGTGACATACACTGGTGATGGTGACATACACTGGTGATGGTGACATACACTGGTGATGGTATCATACACTGGTGATGGTGACATACACTGGTGATAGTGACACACACTGGTGATGGTGACATACACTGGTGATGGTGACATACACTGGTGATGGTGACATACACTGGTGATGGTGGGATACACTGGTGATGGTGACATACACTGGTGATAGTGACACACACTGGTGATGGTGACATACACTGGTGATGGTGACATACACTGGTGATGGTGACACACACTGGTGATGGTGACATACACTGGTGATGGTGACATACACTGGTGATGGTGACATACACTGGTGATGGTGACATACACTGGTGATGGTGACATATACTGGTGATAGTGACATACACTGGTGATGGTGGCATACACTGGTGATGGTGACATACACTGGTGATGGTGACATACACTGGTGATAGTGACACACACTGGTGATGGTGACATACACTGGTGATGGTGACATACACTGGTGATGGTGACATACACTGGTGATAGTGACATACACTGTTGATGGTGGCATACACTGGTGATGGTGACATACACTGGTGATGGTGACATACACTGGTGATGGTGACATACACTGGTGATGGTGACATACACTGGTGATGGTGACATACACTGGTGATGGTGACATACACTGGTGATGGTGACACACACTGGTGATGGTGACATACACTGGTGATGGTGACATACACTGGTGATGGTGACATACACTGGTGATGGTGACATACACTGGTGATGGTGACATATACTGGTGATGGTGACATATACTGGAGATGGTGACATACACTGGTGATGGTGACATACACTGGTGATGGTGACATACACTGGTGATAGTGACACACACTGGTGATGGTGACATACACTGGTGATGGTGACATACACTGGTGATAGTGACATACACTGGTGATGGTGACATACACTGGTGATGGTGACATACACTGGTGATGGTGACATACACTGGTGATGGTGACATACACTGGTGATAGTGACACACACTGGTGATGGTGACATACACTGGTGATAGTGACATACACTGGTGATAGTTGTCGGAAAATCCGACACCATTTAATATATCATACAGACAGATAATAGCTGTGTTGTATAAACAAGTTACCCATAGAAAACGTAACTTGTAGTGGAATTTCCGTCTAAAGAAAACGGGATATCATCACCACATACTATTATAATTCACCAGCTATTCTGCTGGGAATTGTTCTTAAATACATTAGTCTTTGGACTTTACCATCATAAAACATCTTATATAAATTAACTTAATTATCAATATTAAAGTAGAGTAAATGTGACCCTTCTATCACTTTCTGACATGTGGACAAAGTAGGCCAGGCGTCAGTGAGGAAGGGGGGCAGCCATTGTTGTGTCACCTCCGAGACGTGTGGAGCAAATTCGGCTCCTATCATTCTGGACAATGTCGGCCAGTAACGTCAATAGTATGGAGTGTTAAACAGCCATTGTTTATATTGAGACCAGAGGCTCACACGGGAGCAAATTCGGCTCCTGTTAATTTTACTTGGACGTAGTGTTATGGAACCCAAAGGTGTACCATTGTCAACACGCTGTCTACAAATACAAGTTAAGTGTCTATCCGAAACCCGTTTATCATTCATTTATGGCCATTAATGTCAGGATATAGGGTTAGCCGGTTAGAACGTGAAATCGCCTCATACTAAAGGTAATTAAGCCAGGTCTTTAATGTTCCATGTACTGTATAGTGTTTTTCTCTGATATAGCTTGTCATATATAGGATTCTGGCTTCACAGCTAGCGCACTTTTGACAGGTCAAGACGAGGATGCAAGATTTTGTGCACCAGTTACTGGGTGATATGGAAGCTACCTCAAAGAGGATAATTTGGTGTCTACACCCTAGTTATACCTGGTGGACTAACCTGCTGTACTATAAGATAAGGAACCTTTTCAATGTATGTAGTTACTGTAGTTTGATTGGCTGCATACATATTAATTTAATAAACCCCCCCTAATGTGTAGAGGATCGATTTGTGAGATTAAGAGATTATTGCAGAAATACAGTCCACTTATCATTATACAAATTGCTATCGAAGTATATAAATTAACGTAAATATAAATTCATATAAATTAAATAAATATAAATCTCACAGGTCGGTTCCCACATAATTTGGACCTTCGGAACCGGAATATTCGGTCCTATGAACCCACATTTGGTCATCTTAGTACCGGATGAACCAGTTAACCAGTGGATTCATTAAATATACTAGTGCAGTGTTATTTAAACAAAGCCAGCAGTCAAGACGGCAGCGTAGCCTCGAGGGAGCTCAGGAGCCTCCCTCAGCCCAGTTCAGCTTCGTCAGCGGTTTCATGCACACCCACAGATATTTGGTGGCGTGTTATTTCGTGAATGACAGCGCTAATATAGAATCCAGCCAAATTAGTGACTGTGTCTTCGCGAGATTGTTCACGGATTTCGTGGTGTTACATTTCGCGAGAGATTATCTACGAATTTTGTGGACTTTATTTCGCGAGGTCACTAATAATATTTAATACTTCTAGATAATATTAGAAGTTTCATAGAGGCTAATTAAGAGGCTATTATCAATAATTGTGTATATTATTTCTCCAAAATAGAGAATTATTTAATATATATTGCACTAGTGATCACAGTATAATATTTACTAATTGCCAACCCACAACAGGGTAGGATATGACTAGTTGAACTATTATTGCTCATCCTAGTC